TCTTTGTGTGATTTGCTAATTTGACAATTATTCATTTTAATATAATTACATTAATAGGTATGACTCTTTAATTACAGGGTACTAATATCTCTTCAAAATGTGTTTAATTTGTTTTAGAAAGTTTCCATTTGTCCTTAATTGTAATGTTGAAAGGGGCCAAAGAGTATGTGTAGAAATGGAATCACTATAGTATGATGGCTCTGGCTCATTTGCATTACAGGAACTGAAGCTGTGAAGATATATAGCATTGAACAATTTATAAAACGATAACACAGTGAACATTATGGTGTTAGTGGTACCAGTGGCACAGTTTAGATGTACTGTATACAAATATAGAGTTTAATAGATAAAATAAGAAGGCACATAAAAGTGTGCTAAGTATGAACTTAGAATAAGGGGAAATCATGTTAGCATTTCATTGTTACAGTACTTATAAAGATTGTGCTGGATTCAAGTGAAAGAGGAGTGACCTTGTATAATCTTAAAGGGTTTAAAGGGATATCCTATGGTAACTGGAACTGAATATCTGTAAACAGAAGGCAACAACTTGACTGGATTCAAGTATTCAAAATTCTGAATGTTAAGGACAAAGTAAACCTAAAAAAAAAGTTCAGGCATCATGATCAATATATTGATTTAATTAAACTACTAGGTAGCAGGAGAATGACTTTAGCCTTTTTTAGATGGCTGAGCTCCCCTGCTTGTAGAGATGAGGAGCTACATGCACCTTCGGGATATTAATTAATTAATATCAGCTATGAAGTACTCCTTTCCCTAAGAGTGAAGTTAATTTGCAATGCCAAGAACATTATAACCATTATGTTTGAAAATTACCCTAGAGGTAAAATACGTTACTTCATTAAAGACTTCAGGATGTAGTAAAGACTTTTAAATTAAAAATAATTTTAAAGGGTTGTTTTAAATAACAGGAAAGTTTGTCTTGATGTATGTGATGCATATCCTTACAAAGTATTTTAGCAACAGACAGCTGAATGCTGACAAAAGCCTTATCTTAACACAAACAAACCCACTTACATTCTTCAGAAGTTCAAAAACTGAAAAAATACTGCAGAATATATCACTAACACAAAACTATTAACTATAACTATTGTTAGTTTTTTTAGAGAAAGCTCTCCTTATAGAAAGCATTATTATTATTATTATTATTATTATTATTAGTA